TTCCCCCCACCCTGAACTTTTATAAGGACCTCAGTTGGTGTTTGAACTAGCTGATCTTGCTTTTCGCTGAGATTATCATGCAGTCTGCAAGGCCATTACAGACACCTGCAATTCACCACAAATTGTAATTTTTAACAAAGCTGTTCAGGCATGTTATAATACACATCGAGGGAAGGTGGGTTTGAACCATGGTCTCCTGGTCAGAGTAAGGACATGATCATTGTGCCACAAAAGTCAAATTCACCACGAATAAACCGATGAGACTGTTGCACCAATTCGCCACAGTCCTGCCACCAACCTGATTAGTCATCTGTGGAATGTCCTACATTGAAATCACACTTAATTTAGGTGTGTTTCAATTTAAAAACAATTACATATTAATATTACAAACCAAAGTAAATCTGTCAAAGTTTCCTAAAGTTGCTATGGTGTTACAAGGAACAATATTGTGTTAACTTTGTAAAACACTTTAAATACCAAATGGCTTGATTGTTCGAAACAATGGTGAAATAATTGTATTTACTCTGGTGGCTATCTGTCAATAAGCTCATAGGCTATTTGGCAGAAAAATCAATAAAACAGAGACAAGTGAATGTAAGGAACAAACTAGATTTCAAAACAAATCTACATACTATTTTCAATTAGTTTTAGCCAATTTTTGTGAAATTGTGAGAGGCTATGTTATACGTAGAACATAGGACATAGACCAGTACAGCACAGTACAGGCCCTTCGGCCCACGAGGATGTGCCGAACTTTTACCCTAATCCTATCTAACCTCCACCCCCAATCTTATACTATCATCCATATGCCTATCTAATAGCCGCTTAAATGCCCCTAATGAGGCTGACTCCACTACCCTCTCCAGCAATGCATTCTATGCCCCGATCACTCTCTGAGTAAAGAACCTACCTCTGACATCTCCCGTATATCTGCCTCCACTCACCTTAAAACTATGCCCCCTCGTAACAGCTACCTCCACCCTAGGAAAAGTCTCTGGCTGTCAAATTCAATTTTTACATGGCAGGATTTGAACCTGAGCTCCCAGAACAATACCTGGATCTCTGCATTAATAAACTAGTGATAATACCACTGGGCTATTGCCTCCCATTGTTTTTATATTGTTATGTGGTAACTCCCATTGTTATGTGGTATAAGACAACCAGTTAAGCCATGGACAGAGAGGGTTTGTTCCCTTGCTTTCCTGTTTCCTACTTGTGTAGTTACTAATTTTATTTGTACCATTATTGGGATATAATAATGGATGCATGGACGGATGGACAGATGGAGGATGGATGGATGAATGGATGGATGATGGATGATGGACAGCTGGATGGATGGACGGCTGGATGGAGGATGGCTGGATGGATGGATGAAAAATAAAAATGCACTGAAAGTTGGCCCAGATTACTTACATTTCCAAAAGGTAAGTGAATACTGGTAATACAATTCTGAAGAAGGGTCACTGGACTTAAAACGTTAAATCTGCTTTCTCTCCACAGAGTCAACACAGTGTGGAGCTGGAGGAACCCAGCAGGTCAGGCAACATCAGAGGAGTAGGAAAGTTGATGTTTTGGGTTAGGACCCTTCTTCAGAAGGGTTTGAAGTTCTGAAGAAGGGTCCTGAACCAAAACATCGACTTTCCTACTCCTCTGATGCTGCCTGACCTGTGGTGTTCCTCCAGCTCCACACTGTGTTGACTCTGACTCCATCATCTACAGTTCTTGCTATCTTCTCTCCACAGATACTGCCAGGCCTGCTGAGTTTTTTCAGCAGCTTCTGACTTTGTTTCTGATTTCCAGCATCTGCAGTTTTTTGTTCTTTTGAATACTTGTAGTAGTCAGAGAACAGGCCTCTAGACACCCAATTAATGTTCTGGGAACCTGGGTCCACAGCAAATGGTGGAATTTGAATTCAATGAAAATCTGGAATTAAGAGTCTAACGATGACCATGAATCCATTGTCAATTATTGGAAAAACCCATCTGATTCACTAATGCCGTCTAGGGAAGGAAACTGCCAACGTACATGTGACTTCAGACCCACAGCAAAGTGGTTGACTCTTAGACTGCCCTCTGGGTAATTAGGGCTGAGCAATAAATGCTGGCCTGGCCACATCCCATGAATGAGTAAAAAAAATTGAGAAATCCATCTCAGCCAGCCACATTTATACCAAGACTAGAAAATATAGCCTGGTGTAAATAGCTACTTAGATTTTCTTCAAAGCATAATTTAGCAAAATAATTCAAACAGTTAATGATGCAAATCAAATTCCCAATTCAAGAATGCCTAAGAAATCTCAGTGCCAAAAATTAATTTTCCTTACCTTTGAACTCTGGATGGAGGTGCAAACACTCCATGTTTTGGCAGACAAGTGAAATACTGTACTCCTCCTACACAGCCATCATTCTTGCCATTGGGTTTATCTAACTCAATCCCATACCAATAACCTACAAAATTAGATAATAATAATAAGACTTAGATAACGCAAAATGTGTTTGATTTTATCCACTCTACATATCTAGCAGGAAGTAAATGGCCATGTTGTAGAAACTGAACTTCATAAAATGGATGCAACAGAGAAAACTATGCAGTCCAAAGCATGCTGGATGGCTAGAGAAAAAGAAGGAGGCATATGTCAGCTATAGACAGCTGGGATCGAGTGAATCCCTGGAGGAGAATAAAGGCAGTAGGAGTATACTTAAGAGGGAAATCAGGAGGGCAAAAAGGGGACATAAGATAGCTTTAGCAAATAGGGTTAGGAGAATCCAAAGGGATTCTACAAATATACTAAGGACAAAAGAGGAACCGGGGAGAAAATAGGGTCCCTTATAGATCAGCAAGGCCACCTACGTATGTAACTGCAGGAGATGGGGGAGATAGTAAATGAGTATTTTGCATCAGTGTTTACTGTGGAGGATATGGAAACTAGAGAAAATGGGGAAATTAATAGTGACATCTTGAAAAATATCCACAATACAGAGGAGGAGGTGCTGGATGTCTTAAAATGCATAAAGGTCGATAAATCCCCAGGACCTGATCAGGTGTACCCTAAGTGATAGCTGGGTCCCTGGTTGAGATACTGGTATCATCAATAGACACAGGTGAGGTGCCGGAAGACTGGAGGTTGTCTAACATGGTGTCACTATTTAGGAAAGGTGGTAAGGAAAAGCCAGGGAACTATAGACCAGTGAGCCTAACATCAGTGCTGGCAGGTTGTTGGAGGGAATCCTAACGGACAGGATTTACATGTATTTGGAAAGGCAAGGACTGATTAGGGATAGTCAACATGGCTTTGTGTACGGGAAATTATGGCTCACTAACTTGACTGAGTGTTTTGAAGAAGTAACAAAGAGGATTGATGAAGGCAGAGCGGTGGACATGATCTATATGGACTTCAGTAAGGTGTTCAACAAGGTTCCACACGGTAGACTGGTTAACAAGGTTAGATCACATGGAATATAGAGAGAATTAGCTATTTGGATACAGAACCCCAGCTCGAAGGTAGGAGACAGAGGGTGGTGGTGGAGGATTGATTTTTAGACTGGAGGCCTGTGACCAGCAGTGTGCCACAAGGATCAATGCTGGGTCCACTGTTTTTTATCATTTATGTAAATGATTTGGATGTGAACATAGGAGGTACGGTTAGTAAGTTTGCAGAAGACACCAAAACTGGAGGCGTAGTAGACACGAGCGAAGAAGGTTACCTCAGGGTACAATGGGACCTTGATCCAATGGGCCAAGGAGTGGCAGATAGAGTTCAACTTAGATAAATGTGAGATGCTGCATTTTGGAAAAGTAAATCAGGGCATGACTTATACACTTAATGGTAAGAACAAAGAAACCTGGACTGCAGGTTCATAGTTCCTTGAAAGTTGAGTCGCAGGTAAACAGGATAGTGAAGAAGGTGTTTCGTATGCTTGGCTTTATTGGTCAGTGTATTGAGCGTAGGAGTTGGAAGGTCATGTTGTGGCTGTGTAGGACATTGGTTAGGCCACTTTTGGAATACTGCGTGCAATTCTGGTTTCCCTCTTATAGGAACGATGTTGTGAAACTTAAAAGGGTTTAGAAAAGATTTACAAGGATGTTGCCAGGATTGGAGGGTTTGAGCTATAGGAAGAGGCTGAATAGGCTGGGGCTATTTTCCCTGGAGCATCGGAGGCTGAGAGTGACCTTACAGAGGTTTATAAAATCATGACAATCATGGATAGGGTGAATAGCCAAGGTCTTTTTCCCAGGACAGTTGAGTCCAAAACTTGAGGGCATAGGTTCAAGGTGAGAGGGGAAAGATTTAAAAGGGACCTAAGGGGCAACTTTTTCACGCAGAGGGTGGTGCGTGTATGGAATGAGCTGCCAAAGGAAATGGTGGAGGCTGGTACAATTACAACATTTAAAAGGCATCTGGATGGATATATGAATAGGAAGTATTTAGAGGGATATAGCCCAAATACTGGCAAATGGGACTAGATTAATTTGGGATATCTGGTCTTCATGGGCGCGTTGGACCAAAGGGTCTGGTTCCATGTCCTACAGCTCTATGACTATATGTCCCTAAAATGTGCCTTTCGCTTTGCTGGTCAGCCATTTCTGAGGCACTCCTAGTGATTGCAGAAAATAAGCATCATGTCCTTTATGTAAATAAGTAGGAGGGTTGCTGGCAGAGGTTAAAACTGGCTTTAGGCTCACTCTGGAAAATTGAATTGTGTTGAGTGGAGTTAGAGCCAGGACAACGCGGTTTGTGTTTCTTCAACTGTTGCCATGTCCTTATCTAAAAACAAAGACTTGCATTTATATACAATTTTCATGACTGCTGGACTTCTCAAATGTTTTTATGTGCTTTATAAGCAATGAAGTACTTTTGAAGTAATCACTGTGTCAGAATACTTCCAACTTACAGTTCTTTTGATTGCCTTCTGCTGTGATCTCCTCAAGGATCTAATATGAACCTGGCACTTCCAACGCAAACATCCCAAAATTTATTGCTTTTAAAATTGCCTGGCTGTCTATAGTGTCTTAACAGATGACAACAGGTCAGCTAAATAATATTAAGGAAGTCTGATGCCCAATCTGGGCCATCTTTGACCTCCAAAATGGGATGTAGGCAGTGTACATGTTACATATCAGGTATGAAAGGAAAATTTCAGACTGGCTAAAGGAAATTTCCACCTTTAAACATTAAAATATTGGAGAGAATTTGGTGGATAATCCTGAGTGTGTAAAGAATTAAGATGGTAGCCAATTTAGGATCGTCAGACAGTCTTACAGTGTAGCACATTTGTGTGTACTGGAAGCTACATAACTTTATACACAGGAATCTATTTTTTGCAGACAAAAACAACACGTACATGCTCTGTGCCTGTTTCGACTCAACAAAATCAGTGATATTCCTTTGTTTGTTCAGTTTCAGGGCAAAACCATGACCAATCAGAGTCTTCCTGCCCGTTTTAAGATTTAACAATGCCGGACTGTGAACTGACACTCAGCATTCATGGTGCATTCTCCTTAGCAATACCATGAGCAATTAGAATCCTATTACCACTCTGTTCTCATGCAGTATAAATATTGGTTTTCCTCTGGGATTGGCATTTTTGTGAATGATCTTTATAATGCTCGATGAAAAGCTTTGACAAAATATGTCTTTTTTTCAGTAATATTCAAATTATAAGTTGCATTTTTCAAGGATATTCAGTTTTTCAATATTTCTTTGACTCACAAGGCAGTTAATCAAATCTAGGACCACTCAAAATTGCTATTCATATACAGGCATAAATACAGACTTCAACCCTACTAGAACTCAGAAATATTGTCTGTAAAACTGCTGATATAATATAAAATTGTACAGGTTTCCAGTTTGAAATGTAGAATTATTATTTCCAAGGGATGTGATCAACAACTCTTGAACTACCATTGCAATTTAACACGTAATCTTACATAAAAATGCTAATAAACAAAACACTAGACATAAGTAAATGTTCCTCATCATCCCTGTAAGTGGATGAAAACCCACACAAAATATCAATCATCAAATTAATAAATGGCTTCAAGGAGTTTGGGTTTCATGCTTAAGGTTTATAACAGTTTATGGCATTTCTATTTGTTTGCTGCTTTGAGACTGAAATCATTAGTAAAATAAATACTTATTTAAAGGCAGAAAAATTTGAGGTACCTGTCAGTTGGCCACCAACTGAGTAGTTCTCGGTGTTTTAATGTTGCAAAGGGTCTGATTCTTTACAATCCTACTATCCCCTTTTCAATTCTCACCCCTGAAGCATTAGGCTAACTTTTAACTAAAGTCTGAATTATCTAGATTTGACCACATAACATGTATTTTTAAAGTGTAATTATCACAAGTCTCAAGGTTCTTTAAGGAGTAGGAGCAAAACACAAAATTTGAAACTGAGGTACATAGGAGATTTTAAGGGCAATGACAAAAAGCCTGAATATAAACGGTCAGCTATTGTAAAGGAGGGAAGAGAAGTAGGGAGATAGATAAATTTAGGGAAGAAATTCCAGAGCTTGAACTGTCAACACTGGAGCGACTAAAATCTAGGATGCTCAAGAGGACAAGTTCCTACTCACTGCTAGATTAATACCACCAGCTGTTTGATCAGGCCCTTAATTGAACATTAATTTGTGGGGAGACAGTTGCGTAATGGTAATGTCATGGAACTAGTAATCCAAAGGCCTAGGCTAATGGCTGCAAACAAGGGACCAAATCTCACCATGGGAGCTTGCGGAATTTAAATTCAATGAATCAAATCTACAATTGAAAACTAGCCTCAGTAACAGTAAATGAACCTAGTTCACTATTGATCTTTAGAGAAGGAAATCTGCCACCCTTATGTGGTCTGTCTTACATAGATTCACAGTAATGTGGTTGACTTTTAACTGCCTTTAGAAATGGTCGATGAGGAAGTTGGAGATGGACAGCTAATACTGATGTTACCAACAATGTCCATATCCAAAAAAGACTCATTTTTAAAAACATTAATTGCCTACTTAAGGGTCTTAATTGTTGAAAGGATAGAAAGGCCACCAATTAAAGAAGACCATAGCCACTACCTTCCGTCTCCTTCAGAAATTCCATCCACAAACTCCATTCCTCAGTAATTGTGTGAAACTACATCAGATTGTCTGCTAGTGTCAGTGTTGTATGTCACCCCAAAATAAAACTCCAAACACATGTCCATGCCATCAAAAGACCACCTACTCCACCACTGAAACATTTCCTAATTCTACTCTTCTTCAGCTCAGCAGCTGCTGCTGCAACCTAAACCTGTAGTCTAAATGCAATTAATGTTCTTGGCACAGGTTTGAAAATGGTGAGGTAGGTAGGAGATCAACAAGACAGAAAAGTGACCATTATAGAATAGCAGGTTGGTAACGACCAAAAGACAAGGCCTAAGGAAAGTGAGCAAGAAAGAGGATAGGCAACACATTGTTTAAGATCTAATAACGCTTTAATGCAAGCTGATGAATATTCTTATTTATTATAGCAAGTCTAGATTTATTGGTTTATTAAGTCCCTTTAACCTACCTGGTGCAAAGCTTGTTTTCCCATAAAATCGTACTGTTCCACTCCTCTGTCCAACCACAACCACACGATCTCCAATCTGTATATCACTCTTACAAGTCTGTACACATCCCAGACTGCCAACTGATGGAGCTCGATTCCGCAAACCTATTTTAAACGATAGAAGGTTGAACAGTTAAATTAAACTATGTTTTAATATGATTACATTTATTATTTCCCTACTCTTCCCTTTCAGCAATACTTTCTTTCTCTATAACAAAAACACAAACTACTGAAGAAACTGAGCAGCTCTGGCAGCATCTGTGCAGAGAAAGCACAGTTAGCACGGGAACCAATGCAGGAAGTCAGAGGCAAGTAAAGTGGGGACAGAAACAAAGGACAGTCAGGGGAAAAGTGAAAGTGGAAGGCAGTGAAGCCAAACACAGAACTCAAAAAGGGCCACATTTCACAATGCCTAAAAGGGCAATAAATGTCAAAAAAAATGAGCCTGAAGGCTCTGTGTCTCAATGTGAGGAGCATTTGTAATCAGATAGATGAATTAACTACGCAAATAGTTATTAATAGATATGATATAATTGGGATCACAGAGATCTGATTCCAAGGTGACCAAGTATGGGAAATCAACATCCAGGGTTATTCAATCTTCAGGAAGGACAGACAGAAAGGAAAGGGAGGTGGGGTATTGTTGCTGGTTAAGGAGGAGATTAACACAACACTAAGGGAGGACATTAGCATTGATCTTGTTGGAATCAAGATGGGTGAAGCTATGGAACACCAAAGGGAAAAAGACATTAATGGGAGTTGTGTACAGGCCACAAAACACTAGTTGTCATGTTTGGGAACTCTATCAAACAGGAAATTAGAGTTGCATGTAGTAAGGGTACAGCAGTTATTATGGGTGACTTCAATCTACATATTGATTGGACTAACCAACTGGTAGCAATGCGATGGAGGAGGATTTCCTGGAATGTATGAGGGATGGTTTCCTTGACCAATATGTTGAAGAACCGACTAGAGAGCAAGTCATCCTAGACTGGGTATTGTGTAACGAAAGAGAATTAATTAGCAACATTGTAGTACGAGATCCTTTGGGGAAGCATGACCAAAATATGGTAGAATCCTTCATTAAGATGGATAATGATACAATTAAATCAGAAATTAGGGTCCTGAACTTAAAGAAAGCTAACTTTGATGGTATGAGGTATGCATTGGCTAGGATAAACTGGCCAAGGATACTGAAAGGGTTGACCATTTTCAAACCTGTGCCAAGAACATTAATTGCATTTAGACTACAGGTTTAGGTTGCAGCAGCAGCTGCTGAGCTGAAGAAGAGTAGAATTAGGAAATGTTTCAGTGGTGGAGTAGGTGGTCTTTTGATGGCATGGACATGTGGTTGGAGTTTTATTTTGGGGTGACATACAACACTGACACGAGCAGACAATCTGATGTAGTTTCACACAATTACTGAGGAATGGAGTTTGTGGATGGAAATTCTGAAGGAGACGGAAGGTAGTGGCTATGGTCTTCTTTAGGTAGGCAATGGTAGACATTTAAAGAACACATGAATAAACTTCAATAATTGTACATTGCTGTCTGGCATAAGAGTAAAACAGTGAAGTTGGCTCAACCATGGCTAACAAAGGAAATCAGAGATAGTGTTAAAGCCAAAGAGGAGACATATAAATTGGCCAGAAAAAGCAGCAAACCCGAGGTTTGGGAAACATTTAAAATACAGCAGAGAAGGACAAAGGGTTTAATTCAGAAAGGGAAAATAGAATATAAAAGTAGCCTTGCAGAAAACATAAAAAGTGACTGGAAAAGCTTCTATAGATATGTGAAGAGAAAAAGACCAGTGAAGACAAATGTAAGTCCCTTGCAGGTAGAATCAGGTGAATTCATAACAAAGAGATAGCAGACGAGTTGAACAAATACTTCAGATCTGTCTTCACTAAGGAGGACACAAATAATCCTCAGTAAATGCTAGGGGACAGAGGGTCAGAGGGACAGAGGGAAGAAGGAACTGAAGGAAATCCTTATTAGTCAGGAAATGGTATTGGGGAAATCAATGGAATTAAAACCCGATAAGTCCCGAGGGCCTGATGCTTTGCATCCCAGAGTACTTAAGGAAGTGGCCCTAGAAATAGCGGATACGTTGATGATCATTTTCCAGCATTCTGTCGACCCTGAAAGAGTGCCAATGGACTTGAGGGTAGCTAATTTAACTTCACTGTTTAAAAAAGGAGGGAGAGAAAATGGGGAATTATAGGCCGGTCAGCTTTGACATTGATGGTGGGGAAAATGCTGGAGTCAATCATTAAGGATGCAATAACTGAGCATTTGGAAAGCGCTGACAGATTCAGTCCTGGTCAGCATGGATTCACTAAAAGGAAATCATGCTTGACAAATCTTCTGGAATATTTTGAGGATGTGACCAGTAGACATTGGTGAATCAGTAGATGTTGTGTATCTGGACTTTCAAAAGGCTTTTGACAAGAGATTAGTGAGGAAAATTAAACCTCATGGTATCAGAGGTAATGTATTGACATTGATAGAGAACTGGATGGCAGGCAGAAAGTAGAGAGTTGGAATAAATGGGTCCTTTTCAGAATGGCAGGCCATGTCGAAGGGGGTGCCACAGGTTCAGTGCTGGGAACTCAGTGGTTCACAATATACATGAACAATTTGGATGAAGAAATTGAATGCCATATCTCCAAATGTGTAGATGACACTAAGCTGGGTGGCAGTGTGTGCTGTGAGGACGATGCTATGAGGTTGCAGGGTGATTTGGACAGGCTGGCTGAGTGGGCCAATACTTGGTAAAAGTAACATAATGTGGTTAAATGTCAGGTTATCCACTTTGGTCACAAAAACAAGTTACTATCTGAATGGTAGCAGTTTAGGAAAAGGTGATGTGCAATGAGGTGTCATGGTGGAACAGTTGCTGAAGGTTAGCATGTAGATGCAGCAGGCAGTGAGGAAATCTAATGGTGTGCTTTACTTCACAGTGAGAGGATTTGAGTATCGGAGTAAGGATGACTTGCTGCAGTTATACAGGGCCTTAGTGAGGCCACACCTTGAGTATTGTGTGCAGTTTTGGTCTCCTAGTCTGTTGAAGGACATTCTTGTTATTGAGGGAGTCCAGCGAAGGTTTACGAGACTGATGTATGAGGAAAAATTGGATTGACTGGGATTGTACTTGCTGGAATTTAGAAGAATGAGATGGGATCTCATAGAAACATATAAAATCCTGATGAGAATGGACAGGATAGATGCAGGAAGAATGTTCCTAATGTTGAGGATGTCCAGAACAAGGGGTCACAGTCTAAGAATAAGGGGTAAGCCATTCAGGACTGAGATGAAGAAGAATTTCTTCAATCAGAGAGTTGTGAACCTGTGGAATTCTCTCCCAAAGCAGGCTGTTGGGGACAGTTCATTCGATATATTTAAGAGGGAGCTGGACATGGCCCTTGCTGCTAACGGGATCAAGGTGTATAATGAGAGGACAGGAATGGGATACTGAGATTACCATGATGTATTGAATGGTGCTGTAGGCTCGAAGGGCTGAATTGCCTACTCCTGCACCTATTTTCTATGTCTCTATGTAAACGTTTTGTGTCCAGTCATTGGAAGGATCACTGGACTCAAAACATTAACTTTGCTTTCTCTTCACAACTGCTGCTGGATCATCTGAGTTTTTCCAGCAATTTCTATTTTTGCTTTGGTTTTCAGCACCTGCAGTTCTTTGTTTTATTGTCTTTATCTGTGTCTTATTAAGCAATAAAGACTTACAGGCCAGAAGGCCTACGCCTGCTCCCACTTCTTATGTTCTTATGTGGCTCTAAAAATACCAACAGTTCAAATAGAGGATCTCCCTCTCGAAATGGAAGTCAGAGGGCTGGATTTACAGGAAATTAGAGTTGGAAAGCAAATGCTGATCTTGCCAGCGATGTCCAAAACTAACAAAAATCGCCACCACAGCCCATCCTGAACTCTGCAATCAATTAATGTTTGAAGTGCCATTAATTGTTTTAAGGTGGGACATCCACTCCCATCTGGGAGGACATCTTGCCACTGAGAGCTGACAATGAAGCAAATGGTTAGCTCTCTGGTTTCAGTTGCACACTGGAAGCAGTAATTACTGCTAGGACTACAACTCATTCCAGTGCCAAGGAACCAGAAGTGAAAGGTAAACGCTAGGCAAGAGGTACAAAGTTGGCAGCTAGAATAGACAGGCTGGAAGGTAGGAGGACATCATCTAAACTGGGGTGGGGTCCTCTGATGGACTCAGGGAGTTCGCGAAGAAGGTACTCCCCATCTAACTCTCTTTGCACTCCACCTACTTGTGCAGTGAGACTTGCTGTGTGCTGGATATTTGGTGTGGGTCTCTCAAGTGTTCAGTAATTAGACAGTATGAAGCCCTGGCAGCTGACAGAGGTGGCAAAACGGGGAGGATGTACCAAATGAAATTTGGTGACGTAGAATATTTGGCCGGGGTGGGAGCAAGGGGATTTGGTGTAGGTGGACTATAGACCAGAAGACAATACAGATCAGTAGATGGTCAAGCAAGATCGAATTTGTCATGCAGCTTTTTTGATGAGTTTATGTTTAAAAAGCCAGGAGAATGGAAACCTGACTAGGAACCAACGCTTCAATACTATCTAATACAAAGTCATGGAGTCATACAGCACAGAAGCAGACCCTTTGGTCCAACCAGTCCATGCCAACCATAATCCCAGACTAAACTAGTCCCACCTGCCTACACATATCCTGCCACACATTTCTTATATAACAAGGTGTAGAGCTGGATGAACACAGCAGGCCAAGCAGCATCAGAGGAGCAGGAAAGCTGACATTTTGGATCTAGACCCTTCTTCAGAAATGGGGGAGGGGAAGGGGATTCTGAAATAAATAGGGAGAGAGGGGGAGGCAGATAGAAGATGGATAAAGGAGAAGATAGGTGGAGAGGAGACAGACAGGTCAAAGAGGCGGGGTTGGAGCCAGTAAAGGTGAGTGTAGGTGGGGAGTTAGGGAGGGGATAGCTCAGTCCAGGGAAGACGGACAGGTCAAGGTGACAGGATGAGGTTGGTAGGTAGGAGATGGGGGTGGGGCTTGGGGTGGGAGGAGGGGAGAGGTGGGAGGAAGGATAG